TACCTATTTATAATTTTATTTGGGGAGAGAAGAATAAAAATTGAGAAGTTATTGGAGAGGGGGGAGGGGACAGTGTATTATAGCATGTAAGGTTGTAAACTAAAATACTCCAAACATACATGACATAATTGGCATCAATACCTCATTTAGCACAACAAAAACAAAGTTGTTATGAGAATTTTCAACAGACACAAATGATTTTTTTTTTATGTCTTAACCATTTGCGGGTTATTTAAAGCCAGGAAATATTTTTAGACTGTAAGAATTTTTTGGAGATAATGATATATTGATACAAGTTCTAATTAACACATACCTTAGTGGGGAAAAAAGAGGTGGATTCATAATTTTCTCAAAGATATTTGCACATAATTGAATACAATGAACCTAACAAGAATTGAAACTTTGCTCTATTTCCAATTTTGAACAATTATCCATCACACCACTTGCACATCCAAGATTACAGTATCTGGTATTCTCAAGTGATCACATATCTAAGCTCAATGTTGCTTAACCAGTGATTGTACAGGAACCAATGTTTCACCATAATATGGCCATAAGTCTTTTAACCATCAAGGTATTGAAATAGATTAAAGCTATCAAAATAAAATCTGACAAGCCCAATATGGTAGTTGACTATAGTCTATTATAAAAACGCTTTATGCTAAAATTGTAATAAAAAGAAAAAGAAATCTAGATTTCTTAGGAGAGATGTCCCAATACAAGAATAATCAATTCATTGAATCCAGAGCAGAGACTGATACAGAGAATCTTTCTCATGTTACTAAGGTTTAACAAAGTCAAAAAAGCATTGTTTAAACTTACAGAGAGGTAAGTGTGTTTGAGGGGAGATTTAAAACAATTACTGTATAGTACAGTGTACATTCTTGCATGTATCAATGATAAAGCAAAATTAAATAGTGCCTAGATTTTATTATCTAAATATTATTTTTAGTAGATGCCCACTACAGATAAATGGATTGTCTACTCAGATATGGGATACCACTAAAGATAATGTTTAAGGAATAAAATCTGTCAGATTAATAAAAACCCATTTCTTTATAAATTGCTTTGTTTATGCTAGTATATGAAACTGAGCAGATATGTATATTTTGGGAATCAGTGAAGAATCTGCGTTTTAAGGCACTATTCATATTTCATGTCAATTTGGGTGAATTTACAAAATCAGTAAAGTTTGATTTACATTGACGCTATTAAAAATCTTTAAGATTAATTTTGAACAAGTACTTTTTAATTTAAATTTATTTTATAAATAACCTTTTAAAGTTCATTCCAAATTTTAAAGTTTACAGTTCTCAAGGATATAGTTTTTTTTTTAAAAAAAATAAAAAATAAATGGCCCACTCTGACGTTCCTTACATTTAAAAATTTTGATAGCAAAGGTGTTAAACTAGGTATCTCCATGAGATCGCTAAAAAAAGCGCCTAGTCTGATGAAAAAGACGTCAAACTTGACAAAAACAAAATTTTATCGCCAAAATGTTTATGTTACTATTAAGAGGAAAGAAAGTAATTTTTAATTATTTTTTAAATTTTTCTGTCTTTATTACAACATTCTAACTTTCAATTGAAAAACCTTGTTTCTCTTCATCACCGGAATCTAGTAAAAATAACATGGCGAATTTTTTGTGCATTTTTTTCTTATGACACACATTAATTTTGAAAATCTTGCAAAAATAGAAATAATTGTCAGATTTTAATGAAACTTTCTGAAACTATTCAGGAATGATGGAAATTATTATAAATATGTCATTTTTTTAAAAAGTCATTATAAAAATATATTTTTTTATATATATATTACACCCCCATAAATAAATTAATAAAAAATAAAAATTTATGGCCGAAGCACGCAAGCCATTATATTAGTTAAAAACACAAAGCTTTGAGGAAAGTAAATCATGTTTTATTTTTTTTTTAAATACGTCCTCATAAACCTAAAATCAGCTCTGAATTGTAACATACAAAACCCAATAAAACAAAGAGACTATTTAATTTTAAATGCTTTTAGTTGCTTTTATTTGTTTTTATCAATATGCATAATATTGTCTGAAGGCAAAAAACTTTTTCGATGAAAAATGAATTTTTAAATGAATTAAAAACCATCAAATGTTTCTAAAAAAGTTTTAAACTGACATTTTTATTACTTCAAATGTTTTTTAGCGGATACCTGTTTTTTGAAATAGACACCCTCTTATATTTTCATTTTAAACAGTATATATTACGTTTACCGGTGTATGCATTAACCTCAAAGAAAATTTGCTCTTTAACAAGGTTCGAACCTTCGACCGCCCCTACCCCCTGTGGAAAAAAAAAAAAAAAAAAATTCGCCTGATCTGATATCCTTTAGATTGCTCGGTCACAGCAAGTTTTCTCGAGTGCGCCTGATGGTATAGATAATAGATACCGCTTAAAATAAATTCGGGGCGTCTATTTCAAACACTGGTATCCAAACAAACAAAAAGTATAATATTGATATACTTTTTACTTTTAAAATTTTCCAAAAGCAGAAAAATCTATTGATTTCATCAGCATTTTCCAATTTAGAATCCTGAGCAGAACAGAAAACTAGAAGTAAAAAAAAAAAAAAAAAAAAAAAAAAAAAGATTTTTCAAAATGTTTTTATGATGAAATAATTAAAAACGTCTGAATTTTTAATATTGAAACAAATGTAAAAATCAAAAGCTAATTCAAAAAATTAAAGAACAAAAAGAAAACGTTATTTACGTTAAGGAAGTTTTTTTTTGGGGGGGGAAGGGGGTTAAAACCTTATGTACTTGAAGCTTAAATGCTTTTTTTTAAAATCCATTTTTAAAAAGACATCCAATGTTAGATGTGATTAATATTTATAAAATTTTAAACAAATACGTAGGTTGTAAAAGTCCTTGTCACGAAGGCTAAGATATAAGAGTAAGACTAATAATACTAAACTAAAGCCTTAAAGTAAGACTAAGAGTAAGACTAATAATACTAAAGCCTTAAAAAAGTAACAGTAACAGGAGAGAAAAAAAAATGTTAATTCGAAACTATCTTATAATGAATAGATTTTTTATTCACTCAACCATGGACACGTGAACAATGTAAGACATTACGACGGTCTATTAGATATTAGAGTATTTTAATTTAAAATCTAAGTGAAATAAATTCGAAGATATACAAAAAAAAAAACTTGTGACGACACAAAAATGTAAAGTTTACATTTTTTTTTTTTTTTTTAGGTAGGTCGGTGAGTCACGTGACACGGATGTGTGGCACAGTTAATTGTAACTTAAAAATATAAAATATACAGAGTTTTACTTTTGTTTTTAAACAACTACTTTACTGGAGAATTTTAGTGGTAATTTTAATTAGTTTAATTTTTAAAAATTAATTTTCTTTTTTAAATTTCAGTTTTGTCAGTAATTGGTTAACTTAACTCGCTAATGATTAATGAAGATCGTATAAATAACGACAACGAAATTATATTTGAACAGTACTTCAGCCGTATTATTAACATATTGCAAGAGACTTTAAAATAAGATAAAAATATTTATGAATGACGGTAAATAGATAAAAGAAATGAGATGTTACAAAAAAAAAAAAAAAAAAACAACAGGAAAACAATAACTCGAAGTTTTAATTATTATTCAGTTTTTAGTTGCCCTTCCATATAGTTTACTTACTACTATACAATCACAGGAGGAGGGGAGGAAAACTGAATTAAATCTAGTTTTTGTCTTTTTTTTTTTTTTGCTTTGCCACAAAACCTCGAAATTTTAATCAACATTTAAGAGAGAAAAAAATGTGCATTTTGTATATAAATATCTTTTTTTTAGTGAATTCACTATATTGTGATGATCGAATTAAAATTGTCAACTAGCTTCTGCTTAGCTTATTTTTTCAAATCAAATGCTTTTCTTGAAGAACTTAAACACAATGTTTCATTCATTTGAAAAAGGTGATTTCACTGTACAGAATTATCTGTAAATTTCTCCTTTAAATAAAATCTTAAATTTGCCACTACTTTAAAAAGCCTCTATAAACATATATCAGTGTTACTACACATCGAACATGAGGGGGTCTTTTTCTTTAAGGTTCTCCAAACAAAGACTCGGCTTTTCCTTTGAACCCTAACAAGAGGGAGAAAAAGAAAAGGGCAACACCAATCAGTGATCGCATTATTTTTTTTTTAAGGGATTAATGTTTGGATTCAGAAACCCATTACTAAAGACGAAATAAATAACTATAATGTTAATAATAAAAATAAAAATAATAATTTTTTATTTATTTATAAGTGGATAGAACGAGACCCGTTATTGAAGGAACGCAAAGATGATATTTTTTTTTCAATAATTTTCATTATAGTAGCAGTAAGGGTTGCCGGTATGAACCGGCTAGTTAACATATTTTTCAAATATTCATTCATTATGCAATTCTTTTAAGAAAGAGAGATTTCATTTATGAGAAAAAATTTTCATACCGAATGAGCAGTTTTTATATTGAAGCTGACACATGGTCCAGTTGTTTGGTGCGCAATAAACGACTAGGATATAGTTACTAAATTTTCAATACACATGCTTAATGTAAAAATGAACTTATAATACATTAAAAGATTAGAAATAAAGTAAAAATCCTACACTTATGTCTTAATAAATATATTTCCAATTTATTTTTATAAATTAATTAACTGAAATCGCCCATTTTGCTCTTTACCTTACTACTTCAAGTTAAGGAAGCCAAAATAAAAATTTGATACATTCATTTTTCTTATAAAAATAAAACTTACGTATACAGAACAATAAAATTAAATAGTATGATTATAAAATACTAGAAATAAGTAATCATGGAATTTTTATAGACAAATCATTTAAATCTTTTTTTTTTTTTTTGAAGAGAGAGGCTTTTTTTGATTAAGGACAGTTTTTATTGGAGGGAAAAAATGCTAATATGGATCAGAGGTAGATCGGCTTAGGAGTAACAAATACATAAATAAATCCGGAAACCTACCTCGATACATCTGAGCAATAGCAGTGGCCGAATTTTGAAAAGCCGACCAGAGTTTTTGTGCGGCGTATTCTCTTTCCGTCTGCAGTCTCTCCTCCATGTTGGCCTCTGTGTCCAGCTCTTGGAGACACTGGCTTTCGAAATGGCTCAACCAGTTCTCAGACCCCAGCTGGTCCGACTGTTGACCATTCTCTTCTTGCGCCATACCGATGCGTGTTAAGAATCTACGCCAGCAGTAGTAATCACCCCGGCTATTGTTCAAGCTTAGCTACATTAAACTTTCTCTGGAAACCGTTCACAGCTCGTCAGGGGCATGATGGCGCATAAAGCACTCAAAACGATGTAAAGTATGGCAAGAGAGAACGGGAAGGGGAGGAGTGAGAAGGAAGAGTAGGAGTAGGCAAAACAGATGAAGTAGGAGTGATCGATGCTTCTACGACTGGAGAAGAGAGGACTCGACTTTACGCGTACACGCACTTTACATACAAATAATACACGTAGGTGTTAATGTAGCACTCCTTTTTTTTCTTTACTGGTTACCTCACTTCACTCCATTTTTCTTTTCAGAGTGCCGAATCTTAATTTGGTGTTTCGAGGTTGATTTTTGGTCTTTTATATCAAAACAATCATGAAAGGAAATCTGACAAAATAAACAATATATCAATTACTACTAACTCTTCTTACTACTACTACTCTAATGAGGCCCCTCTAGAACTTAAAAAATAAACACAATTATTTCTTTCCGTAAATCAGATGAAAGTATTAAAGAACAACACCCAGAAATATTTGAAGCTGTCATAAAGACATATCTATATTTTTTTTTTTTTTTTTTTAACTTCCAGTTTTGTTTTGTTTTGATCTGAGCCTTTTGTAGAAGCTTCCTTTTTTGTTGTCTTCTTCCGAGTCTTCCCGGAAGAACACTAAGACGCATGCGCACTTCTCTAAAGCGGAAATTTTTTTTTTTTTTTCACACATCCGGTCTCGGAAGATGTCGAAGATTACAAGCAGAATAAAGTTTATAAAAAATGAGTTAATTAATAAAGATTTGATATCATATAACAATAGCAAAATTTTCTAGTTTTAGAAAATATCATTCCAAACTTAAATTAAGGTGAATAATAAATTCCGACTATAGACGAAGTTAACCGAACAAAGTTGAAAAGCAAAGACAAACGGCCGATTTAGCAATATTAACATTAAACAATTCGCCTGGAAAAATAAACCGCCGAATTGAATTGATTATATCTAACGAAAATGAAGCTATCGGCGAAAATAATTCAATAGAAATAACATTATTTGATTCTTAGAAAGAATCGGGAGTGTGAAAAGTGGGATTTTATTTTACAGTCGGCAACAAACGGAGTTAGCCGATTAGGACCGAATCAAAATTCAACCGATTAATTAAGTGATCATTGGAAAAGAAACGCTTGACATTAGCGTCGCATCTTTACAGAATAAGCGAGATTGACCAAATTTAATTCGAGAAGACGGGGGGAGAAAAATTCAGTGGCGTTTTGGACCGCAAGGTCCGGCCTGACTAACGCAGCGGTCGATTGTTTAGAGTTATTGCTAGAATAGCGAAAGAAATTCTAACACAGACGGATTAAAACAACTGCACGTATTTTCCGATTTGTGCCGAGGTTTTCCGGAAAGGGTCGAGATTGGTTAGTGAGCCGAAGAGCGACGACGCCGCAACGTTGCCAGTGCAAAACGTGATTTTTTTTTCCTTCAATTTCCCAAAAGCGAACGGCGCCGCTTCTGTCCAAGACAGACATGACAGCCAAGGTCTCCCCGTCGGACGGTGAGTATAATAGAGGATCGCGATTTACTAAACCGAGCGGCTACCCAACCTTCCCAAGCATGGTAGGCGGCCATCTTGTTTATTTTTGTTCTGTGTCGGCCTGGAAGTGAAAAGAAAAGAAAGACAACTAAGAAGAAAGAAGATTCCCCTCCCCTTAAAAAAAAGAAAAAAAAAACAATAAGCCAAAAAAATTAGTTATTGTCATTTTTTTTTTTTTTTACTTTGTTATTCTTCTTGTTCGGCTCGACACGCGACAACGCAAAACACTACATCCCACACACCGCTATTATTACCTACATTAGAATTTCCCTTCTTCCCAACACTTTTCGCTTTCCTTTCTTTATTTTCTCCCACACTTTTACTAGCTTTGTTTTCGTGTATTCCATCTAAATGTATACTTCTACTACTACAGTTTCTTGCTCCAAAAATCTTAACCTATTAATGATGATATACATATCTATCATAACCTGAGTCGATCATAGCTACCTACCTTATCTAATCTCACATATACATACATATACATATATATATATATATGTAGCTTTTCTTCACTTAACCAACATATTTTCTATCGCGCTGTTAAAAGTTAATGAATTATTTTTGTTAAAGATTGCATTATTTTCGTTTTCCTATCCCGTCTGTACATTTTTTTTCTTTCCTTTTTTTGATTGCAATAATTGGTTTTTCTCACGTAAAATCCAAACACGTGCTGGTTATCTGACTTCTCTTTGTGTCTATCACATTTTTTTTCGTTTGTCTCCTGTTTTTCTATTACAATATTGCATTAAAAAATAATTTGCCATTATTATATGAGGCGGAAAATTATAAAGTACATAGAAGCTTTTTTATCGGTTCGGAGTTGATGATGATAACGACATTTCTGCATGTATCGAAATCCCAAAGAAAGCTATAAATATATATTTATATATGTTTGCGTGTTTAAAATACACGTCTGAAATATTTAAATCAAAAGGAATCTTATTTCTCAGCACTTGCCTCCGTACAGATAAAAATTACCTTCTTTCTTTTAGGTACATTACTTATGGCCAATATTGTCCCTAACTGGTCCGATACAGGTTCTAATTGCTGTGTAGTAGGTGTTATTACATTTTTGTAAACACTAAAGTTACAAGTCTAAGCTCTAGGTTATACACACTCTAAAAAAAAAAAAACAACAAAAAAAAATCAACAAGAGTGGGAGCTGTTATATGTATTGAAGAGTATTTGTTACTTTTATTGATATTGGGATATAATATAATGAACGACGGAATACGCTGCTTACAACCACGCATAATATAACTAACACTTTTTCTTAATATTGTTTTATTTTATTATGCATTTCACTTAATTGTCACCTTTTGGCACATAACTTGTTTTAATGTGTTAATTATAATTTAGTCTAGCTGTGCACTGGCATCTAAGGTTTGAAAAATCACCAGCCTGTGCCCAGATCGTTCTCTCGGAAGGCCACTACGCCATCAAGCCGTACACACACATCAATAACACATTTTATTAATAGCAACAGAAATTTAAATAGAGCAAAAAAAAAACTTAATATTTCTCGCACAGTACCCACGTTTGCAATTTTTTTTCACACCTTGTTTATTTCATTTCTTTTTTTTTTTTTTTTTTTTAAGTGTTACTGTCTCGCCTCCCCTATTTTTTGGCCACTACTAAAACTCAAAGTAAGACATTGGAATTTTAGGAAAAGAAAAGGTCCAACTTAAAAAAAAAAATCCACCATTCTTTCCCTTTCCCCCTACCCCGTTATTTAAAAAATATCCTAAAACTACCCGGGAGTGCTTTGTCCCTTCCCCCTGCGGTGGTGGAAGGGTTTTGAAATTCTGCAGACATTGGGCGCATCACTAGTAAACACGTCAAAGTGACTGTGTCGCAAAAAAGTCCTCCTCCGACTCCGAGGAGAGAGCAGCAGCATCGCTCCTCTCAGAAGACGACGGTCACTGCAAGCGGCGGCGACGAGGACACCATGAACCATGTTAATAATGGCAAGACAGCAACAACAGACACGACAACAACAACAACAACACCCCAACAACAACAGGAGCAGCAGCAGCAACAAACTGAACTACCACAACAGCAGCAGCAACACCAACAACATGATGTTGAAATGGAGTCCAGAGAGGGTTAGCAATGATACATTATTATTACTTTTATTATCATTCATCATAACCTATTCTCATCACTTTAACAATAAGAGTAACAATACTATTAAATCATATGGGCAGATAATGTATGTTTGTTGTGTTGAATGGACTTGTTTGTGTATATACATTTCATGTTCAACTTGTCTATGAATGAAAGGTACAGATGGTCATCATTTTTGCGTGTATGTAATTTACCTATTGGATATTGCATGTAGTGTATTTCCCATGCATACACAGTTATGTCACAGTGTATATGGGATAAAAAAACGAGGTTTTTAATCATCATAACTAAAATGTGTAAAATATTACTAAGTACAGATTCTCCAGCATAATGTACTAATAACTATTATTCAGTATTCATGCTTTCAATAACCTGATAATTCTTAAAAAATACTACTTAAAATGTGTTATGTAGAGGTGTGTGAACTGTTTTCAGTATTTATCAGACAAACAAGTCTTGCGTGTGTTTGGTTCCTGTAACAATTTCTTTTTCTAAATTTCGTCCTCTTTTGCTCCCTCCCCCATACACTTTACTGAAATATGCACCCAATATGTGTAAACATTTATTCATGGCTTTCTTTAGTGGTTGAAAAGTTTTTTAAAAAAATGCCAACTTTTTTTTACTTTTATTTTTAATATAGGAAAACAATCTGTGGAGGTGTTTTGACATTTAAAGAAGTTATTTTATTGTAGCTTTCTTTTTTCTTTCGTTAAAGACTAGTTTCACTTTTGTTTTATGATAGACTTCAGTTTTTTAGTTGCTTTGTGCAACCAACGAATTCATTTCAAAACCAGGAATTAGCTTGTCGTTATTGTCTTTCATACCGTTCATTTTATTTTCATCTATTTCTTATTAGTGATTTTTGTGTGTAAATTTGTATACTTTCATTCATTAATGCAGCTTTTCTTTTTAATTTAAACTTGTAAATGAAAATACGATAGCGACATTAAAAGTAAAACGCATCATAAAAGTAGAAAAAAAAAGATTTTATCGCCATTGTTCATTTTGCAAAAATTATTTTATTGATTAAAAAATCATCTTTGTTGCTGGTTTGTTAGAGAAATCCGTCCATTCTTGCATGACTCTGGGTTTCTTGAAAAGTTACAGTACAAACTGGCCAACTTTATTTCAACTTCTAGTCATAACGTGTCTGCTGGTTACCTACACAGGACATGAAACGTGGCTACAAAATGAGGGATCAGTTTTATTGTAAGCGTCCTATATAAAAAGGGCCCTCA